GGGCGTGGGCTCAGAAACGGGGGCGTGGCCCCTGCCGGCACTTCTGTCTGGGAGAAAGCTGCTCCCCCGCTCCCGCCCTGGTGCTGCGCATTTCAGTTCCTCTCCTATGCCTCTGATGCCTTTCAATCTGCTGCCCCAGTGCTGGGGCTCAGAGGGAGTACGTCTGTGTGTGGGCCCCTTAAGAGGAACCACTTGGGGCTCCGGAAGTTTCTTCCACGGCCCCCGTCCTTGCTGGTTTTGGCAGCCAGAAGTTATGGCGACTTCTCTTCCTGGCCTGGGATGAGGGGCCAGTTATGGGGCTAGGACCCCTGGCTACTGAGAGATGCCTCTCGATTTTTAGCCGCCATGTATGGGTGTGGGACCAGCTTGTTTACAGTCTTGATGTGGTTTCTTTAGCTCTGTAGTTGTAGGACTTCCATTTCTGATGGTTCCAAATGCTGGCTGTTCTGCAGTTTAGTTTTAATTTTGATGTGGGTGTGCAGGGACGCGAGCTGTGGTCACCTGTGCTGCCATCTTGACTGGGGGTCTTGCCTGTCCTTTAATGTCAGTATAAATGGTTTACTGCTGGCCATGGTTCTCTCCAGGTTGGTCTCTGGTTTTCGTCCCAAGTGTGCTGGCTTTTCATCGGGGCTCCGCGGTGGGGAGCCCGTCGTATTTGGGGGTGGTTTCAGTCTTCCCCGGAGCCCTTGTGTGTCCGAGTGTGCTGGGACTCGCCGAGTTTCTCAGCCTGTGTGTCAGAGCCCCCATGTCAACGGCCCTGAGACCCAGACGTGTGGAGAATTGGACTTGTCCCACCCTGGAGGGACAGATGAAAGCTTTGCCAAGTTCAAAGAGCAAAGTGAGCCGGGACTTACACTACCGTTATGTTGACTTAAATAGGTTTAAAGTCAAATCTGAAGAAATTACTTTCCCAGAAAGCACACATTGATTTGATAAGCTTAATGAATGACTTAAGAAACTGGCAATGAGCAATGAAAGCTAAAGGCAGTGAGTTCCCCTGAATTCCTGTGCAGGCGGTTCTCACCTCCTGGCTCTAGCCCGTCATCAGGATGTGCCCTCACAGGTGACAGGGTTCATAGGTCAACCCCAAGGGAAGGAGGAAGAGGCCCCACTCCACACCAGCTCTGTCTCAAGGGCGCCTCCTACAGGCCTCACCCCCATTCTCGTCCCCATCCCCTCCCACCTCCAGTGAATGGACTGGTGACCGTCCCACTGCCTGCAGGGACCTGGCCAGGGCCTGGGACACACCCTGGGGTCCTGGCCTCCCACCCATCATTCAAAAGAGCCTCACACATTCTGAGTAGGATTTTATTAAATAAAGAGCTGATTTATAAAAGAATAATAAAAATGAGACAAAAAGAGAAAAAAAACCTGTTACCCTCTATTCCCATTGTCCTGATTCTTTCATGATTTGACAAGTGATTCTTCTGAATATTTATCACTTTCTACAGGACTTTGTGCATGAAAGTCCTCACCGGACCGAGCGTCGTGTCTGAGAGCCCTGTGCGGTGTGGCAGGGTGCCGTGTCAGTGTTTGCACACACACTCCCGTTGCTAGGACGCTGAGCTCTCTCACCTGCTCACCATTCTCCCATAGGCCACACGGGCAGGTGCGATGAACCTCCGGGTTTTACTGCAAGGAGCGCGGATTGCAAATGCCAGAGCCCCTGAGGCTGGTTTGAGTCCCGACACCTGGCCCCCAGCCTGGAGCCTTGCGCCCTGGTGCCGCAGCTCCTGCCGGAGTAGCTTCTCCTGCCTGTCCACGGGACTTTTGTACCTGGAGGCTTCTTTCCGTGGGTAAGATTCTGCCCACCATCTGTCCACTGGCAGGAACCCTGCTTTACCCGTGGGTCACTCTGCCCTACACCTGAGGAAGCCCCCGGGGCCGCAGCTCACCCAGCTGGAAGGAGGCCTGAATGGAGTGAAGCCGCTGTACTCCACAGAGGAGGTGGGCGCCTTTGCCCCGAGCACCAACAGGATCCCAAACACTTGAGATTCCGGACAAGGGGCCAGTGCTACAAATGGGTGCAGCTAGACGTGGTCTGGGACTCGAGTGGGCGGTGACTTGGGCTTTGTGAGAACGCCGGTGAGCCTGCGGTGGGTGTGTGTTGGAGCCCCCACCTGTCTCGGCTGCTTGCTCCCACGAGGGGGGAGCCCAGCTCTCCAGGGAGCTGAGGACAGCCGCTTCTGCAGTTTGAAAGGAAAGAGGTGCATGTCCTTGGGAAGGAAGAGGTGGTTTGTGTGAAGCACTGTCAGTCTGGGCGTCACGGAAGTTCTTCTGTCTTCAGGGGCCTTGGCAGGCTGCCCTTCGTTCATGGGACTTGGGATCGCAGCAGACGCAGGCCCCGACATCAGGAGGGGACATCAGCCTCCCGGGTTGAATGCAGCACCCGGTGGCCTCAGGGCAGAAAGTGGAAGGCGGGACCCGGCGGCCTGTGTAGTTTGTCACGTCTGCTTTGTCCTGCGACGTGGAGTGGATCCAGTTGCTCCAGGCAGACGATGCTGAGTTGGGCACAGGATGAAATGCACAGTGCAGACGGGCTCCTCACCCTCAGCGCTGGCACAGACCCAATGAGGCCCTTCGGGCCGAGCAGTCAGCTGTGCGAATGCTCGTTGAGCGATGTCAGCTTCTCCAAGCAGCTTCGAGGTTGCGGGAGCGGGACTCTCGGAACCTGAATGGAGTTGTTTCTGTGCAATGCTCTTTTCAAAAGTTGCATCTCAGCGTAGGTCGTTGGGACCCTGTGACCGGCCAGTGAGCATGGAGCTCCTGGGGGGGCGACCCATTCTGTGGCACAGAAGGTTGCCCCCGCCCTCTCTTGTCCCGACGGCAGAGTGCTGGCTCTGTGTGGTCTCACTGTGACCTTGCAGGTGGACGGACGGCCCCAAGTCTGAGCAGTTGGTGTTTGGACCAGTGACACCCCTGTGCAGGTGGTGTCTATTTCTGGTCAGTTTTAAAATTAAGGTGTAGTGTGCTTACCGTCGTACAGAAGAGTTCCATCAGCCCCCTCCGCCCTCCCGTTCCCCAGGAGGATGCGATCTCCCTCGCCTCCAGCTCTGACAACCACTGAGAGGTCCTTGATCCCCATAGCTTTGCCTTTTCCGGACGGTTCGAGAAATGAAATCACTCGTCTGTGGCCTCTACTTCCCAGAGTGCATTTGAGATTCCTGTGTTGTGTGTTCCCGTGGGCTCTTTACACTTTTGCATTTTTCATCCCTGAGTGGTGCGCCATTGTGTGGATCCTCCCGGGGGACATCCAGCTGGTTTCGAGTTTTTGACAGTTACAGGTAGAGGGGCTGCAGACACTCATGTTCAGGGTCTCAGGCAAACAGAGGTTTTCATCTCACCTGGGGCAGGGCTCAGAGGTGCGGTTGCTGGGCCGCGTGAGAGGGTTCATCTAACTTTGTCAGAAGCCGCCCAGTGCTTTTCCGAAGTTGCCGAACCGGTTTCCTGTTCAGACCAGTACCTGCAGACAATGCGTGGTCCTGTCGGGTGGTCGCGTTGGAGCAGCTCTGATAGATGCCACTGATGTCTCGGGGCTTCGATTTGCGCTTCCTGGTGACTGATGATGATGAGTGTGTCTTTCCACCTGCTCACCTACCGTCCTAATATCTTCTCTGGACAAGCGTCTCTTCAGATCTTTGACTTATTTTGGGGGGAAAGAGTGCTTTCTTATTACTGAGTTTTAAGAGTTCTTTGAATATGCTGGGTACGAATATTTGTCAGATGCGTGATTTGCGGTTACTTCTTCCAGTGTGCAGCTTTGCTTTTATTATTTTTATTTCTTATCTTAGCATAAGCTCTTTGTTTTGGTAAGGTAAAACTTACCAATTTTTTTTTACATGTTATGCTTTAGGTGTCAGATCTAAGCCTGAAATCACAAGTATCTCCTAGAAGTTTTACAGCTTTAAGTTTTACATTTAAGATATATGACTCATTTAAAGTTAATTTTTATGTAGAATGTGAGGTATGCGATGAACTTCATTAGGTGGCGGAGGAGGGACCTGGGCTTCTTGGTCCTATGTCATTTGATTGGCCGTATACATAATGGGTATCATGTTTGACCTGGGTTTCTGCCTACCTGCTTTTGGAAAACGGGGCTGACAGCCATTTAGCGAGTGGGTGTTATATTCTCCAGGGTTCAGGCTGCTATCCTGTTCTGCTTTCCACTGATTCTGAGCTTTAACACAACCCCTGGAGGTGTCGGCAGGCACATTACCTTCCTCCACTTCCTGCAGGGTGTGGGAGCCGGCCAGGGGAAAGGAGTCAGAGTCTCGGGTGGGGGCACGGAACTCCTGACACCAGGACCTTCCCCTGACAGGACTTGGATGAGGAGGCAGAGGCTCTGGCTTCCCATCCGAGTGGATCTTAATTCTGGCCCACTTCCACCGCAGCTGTGTGGTCAGGGGCAAAGTAATTGATGTCTCCGTGAAAGCGTAGTGCACAGCATCATTATTATCATCCCTCTGTTTTTTCCAAGTGTGGGTCTTCTACAAGATACTTGGTATCGATGTAAGAAGTAACATTACTAGGGGAAAATAATGATTCCTGCTTCAGAGTTGCACTGACACACAGGAAAACTGACCTGGAGGGAACGAAGCCCATCACTGTAATTGCTGGAAATGAGGGAGCAGCCGTGATTGGAAGGGGGCAGGGTTCTGCCGTGGCTGCCCGTGTGTGCCTGCCGTAGCCTCGCCAGGGTCGGGGCGAAGATCACGTAAAAGCTCAGCGTGTAGGCGTGGGGTGCGCAGGCCCCGAATGTTGGCTTCTGGTGATGTGACTGCTATCATTCTGTGCTGAGGTTGTAGCAAGTGACCACTGTTCGTGGGTCATAGTTTTTTTTTGTTTGTTTGTTTTCCATCATGTTCGGCTATCAGAGTCTCATCTAGAATGTGACCTTTCTCTTCTTGGAATGCGGGGGTTCTTCGGAGTAATTATAAATTTACATGAATTTTTGCCAAACCGCCTCAGCCTCAGTGATCTTCTTTGGTCTCGATTTGCAGGGGGCAGCGCTGAAATACTTGCCGACGATTGTCAACGATGTGAAATTGGTGTTTGACCCCAAAGAGCTCAGGTAAGGAAGCGCCCGGGCCGGAAGCCTCCCCCCTCCCCCCCCCTCCTGTCCCCCTCCTCCTCCTCCTCCTCCTCAGGGAATGTAGTTGATGAGATGCTCACCGTTGAGTCTCATGTCAGTAGAGGTTGGTGCCAGGATCGTTCTGGGACGCGTGCTGGTGGCTGCGACACTCCACTATGACCTTCCTCTGGAAAGGGCACCCTCCACCACCAGTCACCGAATTTCCTTGAGAAAGACGTCCGTGTGGCCCAGTGGGTATATGATACACATTTGCATTTTGCATTCTTTAGGGTTCAAATTTCACGTGTAGTTGTTGGGTTTGGGTTTGGATTTTGTCTTCAGCACCTGAAACGTCTGACGGTAGACCTTTAACATCCGTGTGTCCCCTCCTCTTTGTCATCACACTCAGGACTGCCCTCTGGGGCTCCCGACTAGGGAGCGGAGGCGCCGTGAGTCTAAGGTGTGAGATGCCACCTAAGATAGTATCGAAAACAAACGAACAAAAGAACTTGGGGGAAGCCGGTCATAAGGCTTTCAGACCCAGGAGGGAGGCTGGGGATCGGGTCCTTCTTGTCAGCACTGGTGTCACCACTGTCACCCCCATGTCTGTCCTCAGGGGTTTTGTGGGTGGGTGTCGCCACCCCTGGGGAGGGCCGGCGGGCACATGGTCTTTGAGATCCTGGTCGTCTGCGGCACCGTTTGACACAATAGATACGTTCAGGTGACGGCACCGTTCTTACAGCCTGAAGAGCCACCTGGATATTGGTAAAGGGCCCTCCCTCCCCCAACAGTTACACTGAATAAAATGTGCACATCCTTCCCACTCTCGACCGCGGCCACCACAGGCCCCTTGTGCCCTGGAAGTGACGGGCGGTGGGCCCGGTGGGAGGTGCTTTCCTCCCCAGATCATCCTGTCTCCAGTGGGCCTGAGCATTCCTGTCCCATGTGTCCACATTGGCTTTCTGCTTCTGGAGACAGACAGCGCTGGTTAGAGCTTAGCAGGCCCTAAGTGAGACAGGGAGGAACACCCAGGTCCCTCGGTGCCATGTTCGCCCTCCCAGGCCCCTGGTGTTCATCCTTGCCACTGGCTCCTAGAGTGGTCCCTGGACCAGCAGCGCCTGGAGCTGGCCAGAGGGTGCTGAGTCCCGAGGTCCTGCCCAGACCTGCTGAGTCCTCGGGCACTTCCAGGGGATGTTGAAGTGGGGACGCAGCCAGAGGCTGAGCCTGCCGTCTGCACGCTGTGCAGGGACCACCTCTCGCCTCCGGAGGGGTGGCCCCTGTGCCTGGAGACAACGCCTTCCGCAGGGCCAGCCCCGTCTGCTCTGGGCCCTTGGCCCTTTCTGCACATGGACACTTCATCCACTGATTTAAAAAAAGAAACGACATTTCGCACCATGTATGCATTTTTTCTTGTTTAGAAAATTGATTCATATTTGGATGAAACAGAAGAGATCACAGGAGAACAACTCAAACTTAATCCCTGGATCCTTCAGTTACCTTCCGTGCACCCCACCTGCACCCCCTAGAAATTTGATGCCACGTTCGTCCTCTCAGGCCGACGCCCGCACTTCAGAAACCTGGTCACCCCCCAGCACCAGGCCGTCTTCCACATCATAACCCTTAATGATTTTCATTCTGCTCCGGCCTGGGCCGGCCCGCCGTTTATCTCAGCAACAACAAGAGGCGCATCGATTATGTGCTTTCTCCACGCAAGATAGGCCTCCCCAGAGCGCTGGCCACGCATTATCCAATTAATCTTTACAGCAGCGGTGCGACTGGCCGCTGTTACAACCCACCTTTGTGCTGAGTCAGTTGCTCACCGGGACTTACTGGGGAGCGGCAGTTCTTCCGGGCCCAGCAGGCCGGAGATCGCAGAGGGCGGGCCGCGAGGCTGTGTCCAGGGTTTTATTACGGTGAAGCGGGCTGCGATCAGATTTGTGTGGCTTCATTGACTGTGCCCTAATCAGCATAAACAGAAGTAGAATTGCTGGGCCTTGCATTTTCTTAGAAGATTTTGAATAGCTACCATCCATTTGCCCTTTACAAGGTCAAACCAAACTTCTGGCAGTGTGTTTGGTGTCTGTCTTACCAAACTCTGCCAGTCTTTGGAGTTAGCATTGTATAAACCTCTGCCAAACCTCTCCCCAGCAAACATTTGCTGGGGAGAAAGGACCTCACGGTTTTAGTCTGGGTTTCTTTGGTTACTAGCAAGTACTCTCCTAATACCCCTTCCAGGTGTTTTGGCCATTGGTAGAAGTACATCTTTAAAGGCATTGCTACTGAGGTATGATTTCTGGGCCGCAGAACTCATCGATGTCAGCATTTCAGTGACAGTTTGCCGTGCTCAGTTCAGTGACAGAGTTCTGTGACGACTGTCACGTGGTGACAGTTACCGCGATCCCAGCATGGAGCCCATGTGCCCATAACCAGTCCTTCCGGGGCACCTGCTCTGCTTGCTGTCTGCACAGACCCGCCTTCTCAGGGCCTGTCGTGTGAGAGGGGCCGTGCGCCATGTGGCATGTGGCGCCCGTCTCCTTTCACACAGCCCGTGGGGTCCCCGTTGGAGCCGGTGTCAGAGTCCCCTCCTGGGAACCGGTGAACTGGAGGAGGACCCTGTGCTGGGTTTCTCCACCCCCTGCTGGCGCCAGGGCTGGATCCGTTCCTTCTTGAGCATGAGGAGGGGTGTGGCTGCGATTCGTGTTCGAGGTTGTGTGTGGATGTGTGTTTTCATTGCTCTTGGGCGTAGACCGAAGAGTGGGAATGCTGGCTCCTGTGGTGACTGTCTTCAGCCTTTTGAAGAACTGCCTGAGTGTCAAGGTTATTCCATCAGCGCAGTCCAAGGGTCCCCACTCCCCCACATCCCAGCTAACACCTGTTATTGTCATTTATGCCATAGCCGTGTTAGTGGCTGTGCTGTGAGAAACAGCATCTTAATGTATCACTGTTTTGGACGAGACGTTGGCCTGTATTGTGTGATGGGCATCAGCCGGCAGCCTGTGGCGTTTCCTGACCACCAACTGGCTTGCGTCTCTGGGCCGTCTTGCCGCACTTGGGGCCACTTTGCTGTCCAACCCTAAATGCTTCCACTGTGTCTTTTTTCTCGTAGCACAATGTTCACTGAGTTCATCCACAATGTCCCCACGGGTTTGCTGACCATTCAGAAGCTGTATTGCTTGATCGAAATCGTTCACAGTGACCTCTTCACCCAGCATGGTGAGTGGCCCCAGAATGTCATCGAACCGTCATGTTAGTCCCTGTTGGTAGATCTCGCCCCTGTGAGTCCTCCTCTCCGTGCTGAAAAAAGTGGGGGTGCAGCCAGTTAAATCAGCTCCGTGACGAGACAGGGAGATTCAGTTCTCGCATGGAGCACGGGCTCCGGCGCCCAGCACAGCTGAGCGTCGCAGAGAAATGCAGGCAGAGCCTCGGGTGTGTGATTGAGGCGCCCCCGGGCCCCCGGGCAATCAGCGTGCATTGTGGCCGTCACCACGTGTAAGTGGGGCTCCTGGGGTGGCAATCACTGGCTGAGGCGGAGCTGATTGCAAAAAAAAATGTGAAGTTTTCTTTTAGTTTAGACGCAGTCGCTCCATGGGGTTTCCTCCGGCCCCGCTCCAGGGAGCACGAATGTTCATGACCCCTCCCCTCACTTCCCCGAGGAAAGCCTTCCGTTCCCCCGTGTTACCTCCCTCCCTTTTTATCATCACTTTCCTTCTTTCTGGACTCGTTGAATTAATATCTAACACTTGTCAAGCTGCTGTACGGAAAGCTGAAAACCTTTGCCCGGTCCCACAGCCTTCCTCCTTCGTTGGAGGCGGAGGCGGAAACCACAGAGTGATGTTCGGACTGAGGAGCACGCATTTGCTCTGCTCCATTTCTGCCCAGACGCCCGGCCGCTGCGCTCGCGTGCGTTCACCCTCGTGCGTGGCGTTGCTTCTGGGTCGGGTGGCCCCCTCTCTCCGCCATCCTCCTCCCCTCGCCCGCCCCCTGACCTGGGGGTCTCGGACGCTCTTGTCGAGTAAGTGCCTGGACTGCGACGCCGTGTGTCTGGCTTCCGGACCCTGCGTTGTAGGCCTGCTCACTTTAATCTTACTTTGTGGTTTAACTTTATGAGACACCCTGGACTGTACCCTTGCAGCTAAGCGCCCATGGGGGGGAATGCTAAGGGAACATGGGTGCTCAGGGGACACCGGAGGACATTCCTGTGGGTGGTCTTCAGGGGAACAGAGCCCCGGCGCGTGGCGGCAGCCATCGTCTGCCCTCCCGGCAGACCCCTCTCTGGGCCAGGTGCTCACGTCTCACTTTCATAGAAGTGCGTCCCCTCTCTTGCCACAGTCTGTGACTCAAAGCCCACGCATCCCCTTGGACCATTATTTCTGCCTGCCTGTGGTTCAGGCTCTCGTCAGAGTGCTGGCCCTTGACTCACCCGTCCTTCTGGGATCTACTTGAGTGTGGGGACACTCCAGGAAGCCATGGTGACAGAGGGGTGGGTGGGGACACTGCTTCTCTGTGTCCTTCCCCAGGGACTCAACTTTATGCCAGAGCACTTACAACCCCTGGGAGTTTTACTGCTGCGTCTCGCTGGGTAGGTTCCGTCCCTCCTCCCGGCCGTCGGGCCCCACCCCCACCCACCGCCAGTGTCTGCCGAGTGCGCAGTCGTCAGTGAATCACCCGTCAGTGGATGGGTCGCACTTGGCTCTGAGCGTTGACATGGGCAGACCCTCACGGGGACGCGTTCACATGTATTCCGAGTTTCTCTTGTAAAACCCTGTTCCACATACCATTTAGCTCTCTTTGAGTGAGAACCTAAGACATAAGAGGTTTAATAAGACATGTTGGCAGTAGAAATTTTTAAGGAATGTATTTCAAGGACATGGTTTCTTCTATGGAAACTTCTCCTTTTCCTTAGCGAGTGAGCAGGAAGGCTGGTGAGGAATGCCCCTGTTTATTCCTGGTCACGGTGTCCGCCGAGGTGTTTGGCAGGTACTGTTGCTCCTCCCCTCACCCTTCGCCCTTTCCCACGCTTGTCCTGCCAGTCTCAGAGGCCTCTGTGAATCCTGTTTTGGAAGCATGCCGCATGCAAATGAACATCTACAGCTTTTACTAAGCATTTATAGCTTTTATTAGGCATTTATAGCTTTTTTTTTAAGCAACAGCATTGCTCACTAAGGAGTTACCAGGACACATAATATTTTGGAATAAGTTGTATCTTTTAAAGTACAAAGTTAGGAATTTAATCTTAACAGCCACTTGTACCCAGCAACACAGTGAATGAGATTGTCAGAAATACGTGAATCTCGAATTATCTTGGGTTAAATGAGCCGAAATTAGCCCGAAGCTTCATGTTGTACAAGCTGCTCCAGAATCGCCCAATCAGTCAAAGTCGTCAGAGTCTTTGGGGGAGCGCCGTGCTCTTCCAGCCCCTCGCCGGCCACCTGGAGGCGCTCCACTCAGGGTGCGCCGGCCCCGGGGACGTTGAAGGCTAAGGCTCTTTCCGGGCAGCGAGGGCAGCCCCTCCCCTCTGCAGGCTCCCTGCCTCTGTGGAGCAGCGGACAGCGTCTGGCCTGCCTCTCAGGAAAGGCTGGCCGGGGAAGGCTCCCAGCTGTCCCCTTCCTGCAAAGATGCCACACCTCTGCAAAGCGTTCTCTGCCACCCTTGGTGCAGATGTGTAGAGCCGAACCGTTTTCTGAGGAGGGACGAAGGCTGTGACTTCCTTCCTTTGTTCCATTTGTTGTTAATTTGTAAAAAATGTAGTTGTCTGTGTCCTCTTTCCTGTCCCCAGGGGAACCAGTCACACTGACTCCCCCTGTGTCCAGATGTTTAGAGTGTGATAGAATGAGGTTTAGCTGCACAAGCTACAGAGTGTGCTGGCTCTCTGGAATGTTCTCTGGGGCGTGGGATCAGAGGGTGTCACGGGGCACGGGCTCCAGGGCTGGTCTTGGGTCGTCAGCACCTGCAGTACCTCCTAGAAGACCCATTTTGCTCCAAAACTTCCTTCCAACCACCCTCAATACCGAAGGCATCCCCTCACTGCAAGAGCCTCATTTCAGGGGGAGTGGTGAGCTGACCTGTGCGAGGGGCTGGCAGTGACCCCTGAACTTGTGGACGTCCCTCTGCAGGAGACCTCTCCTCAGCTGGGGTGGGTCCCCATCTGCCAGGGCTCTCGGTTCCCTGGCTGTTCCATCCCTTCTTTCCCTGTTGCCCCTCTGGGTCCCTCTAAAGGACACGGAACCTGATGGTGATGACCCAGCTGAGTTTGTCTGGCTGTAGGCGGAGGTGTGTCTTCTCACAAACGGGGTTGTGTTTGTCTGGCCCCAGCCTGTGTGGACACCTCGGTGGCTGTACCCACTGCCACCTGCTCACATGTGTCCCCACTGTGACGCTTCTTCTAGAGCAGTTTTATAAAATTGAGATTGTCTTCCATTTGCTAATTACTAATCCCCAGATCGGTGGACGTAGGGAGGGAGGGGCAGTCTGAGCCTGTCTCTGGATTCACCGTAGCTTCTGTGACGATTATGGAGTGTCTCACACTAACAGGAAAGGGGGTGAGGGGATAACAGATGCCCAGGCACCCGTGACCGGGCCTGAGGGTTTTCAGGTTCCCCCCAGTCCTGCTGTCCCTGGAGGTCCCAGAGCGCATTGCAGCTGTCGTGGCCCAGCATCGGGAGGCAGCTCCAAGTGTGGGTGGTGTTCAGAGTGGTTGGCATCGTTTCAGAGGAGAGAGGACGTGCAGAGGGGCTGGTCCCGTGCTCCCATCGGGACCCCGCCCTGGATATTCCGCTTTGGTGGCAGTGAGGGTCCCCGGACTTGTCAGCGGGCTGCATGCCAGACCCGTGAATGGGCGGCGATGGCCTCCAAGCCTTGTCTGCCCCTTGATTGAACTGCGTGGAAGCGGCTGAGCAGATGGTGCGCCTCACTGAAGAGATGGCTCTCGCTCGCCGTCATCTGTGACGTGGAGGGAGTGGTTTTCAAGCGAGAGACAAAGGGACATCCAGGTCAAAGCGGCCTGATCTGTGCCTTTGTAGCTTTATTTCCCTGTGTTGTGTTGTTGCCCAGATCTGAGCAAAGCCATGAAAACCAAAGCTTAAATCCGGTTACGGAAATGAGGAATTTCCCTGTCAGTAAACTGAACTGTAAACACTAGGACGCCGAGGTTTAGTTAGGGTTTATGCTCGCAAAACGTTCTCCATCAGTGTGCCTGAGGTTGGATCGCCTTGTCTTTGAATGTGGTCAGGAGCACTGGGCACCCCTGCGAGAAGCCCGTGAGTCCAGATGGAGGACCCCCCGGAGCACATGCTCCGGGGCCTGGGGGCTCCTTTCCGCTGCGGTTCTGCACCCGAGAACCTTGGGAAGCCCATTCCGGTTAACACCGATTCCCTTCTCTACCTTTCGAGACCCTGTCTTGCCAGGTCCCCACATTGAAAGGGGCAAAACGGTGGACGGATTTTCGGTGGAACTTGCCGTATACTGATCACTGTGTTTTATGTAATTTGGGGAGGGGAGGGCGAGGTTTGGAGAGTAAAGATTTGAAGATTTACTGGCAGACAGAGCCTTTCTCATCCTGACAGTAGTTGAATCCTCTTGGTGGATTCCTTGGCCATGAGCCCGGTGTCCCTGGCTCCCCCTTTACTTACTGTTTTCCGGGCGTTTTCCCTCGGAGGAAGTGGAACAGGCCGGGCCAAGGACTCGTCCCTTCAGTCGGGCAAGCAGGCGCCTTCTTCCGAACACCGCTGGCCTCACAAAACTTCATCTGTGTCCGCGTTTGACCAACACAGGGCTTCTTAAAAAATGTCGGTGTGAAGCACTCTCATTGTTTTCGTCACTCACTTTCCAGGCAAATGATTGTTCCGGGTAGGAGCTCTGCCCTGTCACGGCAGGAGCATTAGTCACAGCAGCCCCTTGGGGGCAGCGGGCAAAGGCCCTGCCACCTGCTGGAACCCGCTGTTAGGAAATATTGAAGTCAGATTCCTGGGCTGTTTTCGCTGTGATTAGATCTGAGGTAGGAAGTGTATTATCTCTAAAACGTTTTCTATAAATCAAATTCCGGTGCTTTAAATGGTAGAAGGAAAAGCCATGTGTTTAATACAGGCCTGTAATAAAATAGACCTTAATGCTTTGATCCGTAAACAAATCAAAATAAAAATCCCTTTAGCTTCTCTGCTGTGGATAATGGAGGGGTTTTCCTTTCTCTGTCGGAGGGAATCTTAAACCCAGGGCTA